ACTTCCGGTCACTAAAATACACTTTGTGCTAAAACTTTTGTTCACAACGCGTAAAAATTTAAATTACGTCACAAGATTTTTCTCGATCGCGAACTAATGCAATTTTCTCGGTGGTGACAACCTTAAGTATTTCGTTACACTTAAAATTTTAATTGGGATAAAGTTTTCTTGACGCAATGGAGTATAGCTGTGATGACCGTAAAAATTACATCACGACAAGGAGTTTTCATTTTCACGATTGAAATTTTCTCCGATACACCAATTTGACTTGGTGGAAAGAGCAATTTACTTGTCACGAGCAAAACATTCAATCGCAAGAATTTAACTAGCGTTATCTGAACTAAAATTACAATTGGCAAAATAACTAAGTCATGTTATCGAGGGGGGGGGGGGATTCTCATCGCAAGCTGTAACTGTCGAGGAAACAAGTTTCGTTTGCGATACATTAAGGGTAAAAAGCGCCTTCAAAAACGTCTCTGGCAATATCGCTTGCAGGAAAGTACGAATAATTTGTTCCAACGCGTGAGTATGGTGTAACTTAGTAACTTGACTTATTGTTAGGCTGTAGATCATCTATCATAACTATATATGTTGGTTTAAATATGTTAAATATGTAAATACAGTTGATCACTACTGATTGGTGGCTGATTGTGCGCCTGTAATGACCGCGCGCGCGGCATCACAAGATCAGTCACTGCCGCGTTTTATATTCGCCGACTCCATGAATATTACCGGTCTACCATACTATGAAAGAACATAAACATTTGGATGGTGCCAAATTTCTTAATATAAAAAGACTATTATATAAAAAAAAACCATGAATGTTTTTTCGCAACACTTTGACTGTGAAATGGTAAAAATTAAAAGAACATTTAGGAGAAAATTTTGAAAAATGAAAGAAAAGTTGAAGAAACATGCTAATTTCTTTCGAATCTGACATATCAAGTGAGTGCGGGCTGTGGTAACAATGAGGCTGTTAAAAATTGTCTTCCCAAAATTTTTGAAAAACTGTTAAAAAATGCATTGAAGGAAATTACTTTTTGAAAAAAACTTAAAACTTAAACTCTGTTAACATTTACAGCTGAAATTTTTAAGAGAGCTACTATTTTCTTAGGATTTTGATCATCATTCTCTCCACCGCCACCATTGTATGTGGTTAAAATACTATCACTTTATAGATGTTTTAAGAGTTTTGCAACGCGTTCTTCACTGAAGTTTTACCTCTTTTCAAACGTGTAGATTACACTTTAAAACATACTCAAAAAAGGATTTCTAAAATAAAAGTTTTGACACTTTTTAGAGGTTGTCATTCCTTAATTTACATTTTTTTAAAAACCCTCTTCAACAGTCATCGCTACCACGGGAATTTCGCAACCTTGCGATGAAGATACGCGGTTTTGGACCTACGCCATGGAACGCACGCAGATCAGGAGAGGCTCCCTCTTTTGCGGATACCCGCAGTGGCAAAGAGTTAACACTATCGATATTTGCCCGTTTGCAGCTATAGTAAAGAATCGATTATAAAGTAGTTCGTTGCGAACGACCTGTTTTACGATTTTTTCTCATATATTCAAAAGATAGATCAATCGATTCATCGCAAAGCATGTCACGCTGCTGCATACCAGTCTCCAACTTGCGATTGGAGATAAAATTGAGGGATTGGCCAGCATCGGAGTCCAAGTCAGGGCTTGGCGGCGAGAGAGAGCCCCAGAGGAAAACTTCTCAATCATCGTCAGCCGATTGAGTTGTCGCTTTAATCAACCCGCTTTGCCGCAACGTCCTCGCCAGTGTTGTGCCGCCAAAATATGCGACCGTCCGCGGGGGAAAAGATCTTCGTGCCAGAAACCTCAAAATTGGGTTACTGGGTAATGGAGATGTTGCATGTGTGAGGAATTTGCGATTTGACTATTGATTCTTATGTAAAAGTTTGCGAGAAACACGATGGTGCCACTGGTTTTCTCTGAAATCAACTCCCAAGCTCAAAAAAGCTCTCAAGTTGAGGCCAAAATGGACGGGATATCCCACGCTATCCTGAGAGTCCACCTCTACATCAAGACAAACTCTTCATGCAAGATAAGGAGCAAATACATTGACAGGGCTGCCACCTTATTTGGGGACTCTTAAACTGAAATCACGGCAGCCCTGTCAATGTATTTGCTCCTTATCTTGCATGGAGAGTTTGTCTTGATGTAGAGGTGGACTCTCAGGATAGCGTGGGATATCCCGTCCATTTTGGCCTCAACTTGAGAGCTTTTTTTGAGCTTGGGAGATAAATTAAGAGAAAACCAGGGGCACCATCGTGCTTCTCGCGAACTTTTACATAAGAATCAATAGTCAAATCGCAAATTCCTCACACATGTAACAACGGGCGAACAGCGCAACACGCGCACTGGCGCGGCGCCTACAAACCTAACAGGGATACTTCACGCATTGCGCAATGCGTGAAGTATTCCTGTTAGGTTTGTAGGCGCCCCGCCAGTGCACGTGTTGCGCTGGCTGTACGGCGCAGAGATACAACTATTCGTGCGTGATGGATGTCCGTGTTGCATCTGCAAAATTGAAGGCGCGATGGCGTGAGGCGTGATCTAGGAATGGATCAATAGACACGGTGCGAATTCAAGCAGTACATATGATACGAAGAGCAAGTTTAAGAAGCCAAATGATATTTCCTCTCCCTCCCACCCACCGTCTCTCCGCGCTACCCTCCCTCCATCGCTGATTCCAAACGAATCAATTGCAATACATACATACAAGTCGCTTTTACAGCGCGCCCGGGCGCTTTGCGACACCTATTCGCCATTCTTGTCTATCGACTCAGAGGTCATCTTGGCAGACCCGCCACAAGGAGGGGGATACTGGGTCCTTGGTACCGCGGCCCGAGCCCTGGAGGGGCCCGTGACGCAGGTGACAAACCACTACGAATTCATGTGTAACCCTTGTCTCGTTAAGAAAAGTGAAAAAATTACTCTAAAAATTCCGCAAAAGGTGAATAAAGTTTCCAAAACACACAAGGGCACTATAAAATTTTTCTTACTTTTTTTAAAGATTTCTAAGTATTTTCAAGATTTTGAGTATATATAGAATGATATTTTTAGTAACTGCGTTTCATTTTCTTCCGTCGTCGGATGCTAAGAGGCTCCTGTCTGGGCATCCTCGACTTCAATGGCTCATCTCCCTCGCCGTAGACGTACGAAAAGGGAGTCCAAGGGGGCTCGGCTGCCGGCTCCCCCTAGAATTGAAAAGTATCATCTGCCCCCCTCAAAAAAAATTTACAGATGTTTTGAATGCAGCAATTCGAAAGTATTTGGTGCTGAAAGTAAAAAAAAAAAAAGGCATAATTATTCTGCAGAAATCGATGGAAAATCTCCATCATAAAAGCTTCAAAATGCGTCCAAATAGATTTAAAAATTCAAAAATTTCCCGAGGGAGGCTCCCCGGACTCCCCTCTGTGCTAGGGGCCCGGGCCAGAAAACTGTTACCAGGGCCCGAGATGAGATGTGGCGGGCCTGCATCTCGGTAAGTGGCATCCTGTAATTTCATCTTGAACGGATCAAGCAATGCCTTCGCAAAATATTGGATGACATTCAGTAAAGACAGACGCTTCATACGCCAGAATCGTCATTTCATTTTTTTGGAGGGGGGATTTATGATTGGGCTGCAGTTTTTTTAATGGGGGGGGGGGAG